TTGCAACCATCATGATTCATGAGCAACGACGACGATGTCGGGCGGGCCTCTTCGATCCGGCATGCCGCCTCGCCCTCGCGCCATGCTCTGAGGACACCACCAACCGCGCTGCGCCTGGCTCGCACGGGTCGAGTCGCCGCGCGCGATCGAGCTCTCCGTCGCTTCTCGCACATGCTACCACGGCCCAATCTCATCACGGAAGATGATGTGGTGGCATAGCGACAGCTTCTTTCTAAGGAGCCACGCAACATGAACGGACGAGGGCCCATCCAGGCGCGGCTCCACTATCCCCGACCTGTTTGGCGTGATCGCAATGGCAACTCCACAGGCAAAATCAATTTTCGAGTCCTTTTTTTTCGAAATGCGGCAAAAAGATTTTGCCAGATTTTTATTAGGCGAGAGAAAAAGAAAAAAAAACAGAAATACAGAATTACCCCCCACGACTAAACTCTCCGACACTACTGCCCGCAGGCTGTACCTACCCGACTATACATTGCTGGTAAAACACTATGGATTGGAACAACAGAAACCTGAAAGAAGCCTCGAAACTTGAAAGAAAAACTAAACACAACCAGATAAACACCGTGCAGACTAAAACCTTCACCTCTTCCTCCCCTGTTGCGACTAAAAAGTTTACGCATTGGTTCTTGTCGCCAACTGATATTGCTCCACCTCTTCATTGCATAGGAGAGCCACTTGTCTCAGCTGCATCGAGATGTTGTGAAAAGTTCTTCGGTTTCGCTCCTCCCATATGTTCCACCAGAAATAGATAATGATGTCATCAAAAACTTTCCTTCTGTTGATCTTTGTGTGGCATCTTCGCCAATAGTTGTGAATTAATCCATCTGTTCGAACAGTGTCAATTACGGAGAGGTCAAGCCACTCCTTCAGTAACGCCCAAACCTGCTTTGAAAAAGCACAATCTTTGCATAAGTGCGTCGGCATTTCATGATCATTTTTCACAAAGCTTACATATTGGGTCATTTGGCCAATGCCTTGAGGTCAATGCCTTAAGTGTGTCGGCGTTTCATGTCTCAATTTTCAAGTCTTGAGGTTGAGGATTTGGCTTCAAGTCCGACCAAGCTTTTTTGTTGTTGTTGTTGTTTAGAGTCGAGTTGAAGTTCGATTATATGTAGTGTACTAGTCCATTACGCGCGCCTTTACGCGTCGGTTATCCAACCAAAGATGCAGCGCAGGATTGAACAATCATCTAATCTTTAGCAACTGACATGACATATATTTTACATAGATAGATGTGATAAGCGTGGTAATGGTCCACCTTAGATGCACAAGTCTGCTAGGCTGCCTAATGCCTAGCAAACCATTTTGTGAGCTAAATTATATAATTCCTACAAATTACAATTACCAGGAATGGAATCAAATTAAATAACGCCTACTAAACCAAGGTCGACTAACTAAGAACAATGGCTAATAATCTTGTATAGACCTAAAAAACAGGAAGCATAGGAAATTTGACCTCAAACATTCGTCTTTTTCCTTTGTTTGCCTAGTCTCTCTAATTAACAGCTACTAAACCAGTCCCAATGAATTCAGTGGATAGTTAAATCATATGGTCGTGATCTAAAATAGAAAGGGCCTATACGGAAGTAAATCTTTAGTGGATTGTAGATCCACCGAAACGATAGACAAGCCGTGTGAATCCTTTAGAAATTGTTTGCTGTGATGTTGATTATCTGTTCGCTGATGTTGCCGTCTATGTAGAAGCCTGTAGTCCAACATATTAGATCACCGGTTACCTGGTCGAGATAAGAGGACGATCATCCCTGTGAGATAGAATTGCCTAACTAAATGAAAGAGAACACGTATGAAGGTTCAGTTTCAACAGCATGGATCTTAATTAAAAACATAACTCACATGTTTCTAAACAGGTAAAAAATATAGGAGGCATAATTGGAAATTAAAGCAAAACTAAAAAAACATACATAAGGCTACATCATATTCATCAGAGCAGAAATTAGTTTGGTATTTAGACATACAAAAAAAACAGTGACCTCTGCTCTTGTACGTACATGATGAGCAATGGCATACGCTTGTATATGTTTTGAAAAGGTTCACAACAGTAACACAAAGTTTTGAGACATGGTTATGTTTTTCTTTTTCAGAACACAAACTGTATGTGTAAGTAAAAATAATACATACATACAGAAAGTGAAATCAAGGGATTAGAGGCATAAGGTGGCAAATGAGTTAAAAGGGATTTTTAGGCTACCGTACCAAGCCCAAGGGAGGTCAAGGAGGAAGAAATAGAGCAGAGGATGGCCGCCGCTTGGCTGCCGCCGGGCGTGGCGTGTCGATGAGGGGAGAGGCACCGCCCGCGTGGGGCGGGTCGATCTTTGTGCTTTTGCCCGACTGTAGCACGGACAGCTAGGGTTTCCTGGAGCACAGTAGCACACACGGATCAGAGGGAGGAGGCAGCGTCGGGGGGAAGCGACGCCGGCGGGCACCAGGGGGGGCGGCGGTCGCGCTGGGTCGTGGCCGAGGATGACCATCGCCGGTGGCCACGGGCGGAGCCGCGCCGCAGGCCGGGAGCGCCGTCGCGCCCCGATCGCGCCTGGCGCAGTGAGCCGCGATGCTGGGCCGGACGGCACGCGGGGGTGGGGAGGAGGAGGGCTGCAGCCGCCGCATTAGCCGTCGTCTCCGTGTCCGCGTCGCGCGTCCGCGTCGGGGGTAGGATCGATGGGGTGAGAAGATGAGAGGAGGAGCCGAGATATTCTGAGAAGTTTCAGAAAGGAGAAGTAGAAGCTGGATATATATTTGGTTGCCTAGCTTCGGACGAGAAGCAGGAGAGTCCAATGAGAAGCAGCTGAGAAGCTGGATAAGGCGAGGAGAATCACGAGAAGTCGCTTTCGGTAAAATTTGCTTTACGAAATCTAGGTCGTCGGATGAGAAGATCGAACGGCTAATAAAATTTAAGGTGACATGGACAAGCTAGAAGGCGGCCAAAGCAAACTGCCTTAATATATTAAAATGAGGTTAACCTCAAGAGGCTTAAGAAAACCCCCTATTTCATACTCCAGATGCCCTCCGAGGCTCCGTGGCATATACTTTTTGTTCCTTGCTTTGCAGACGCTGCCAACAGACTCACAACCACAACTCGAGTACAGATCGACGAAAGGAAAAGACAAGTTTTACTACGGTTGAATTTGATCCATTTCGGACTGTTTGAGGACTCAGTTGACAAGATATTTTTTGCACAGCAGTGAAAACGACAATTTGAATTGGTCCTGATATTAAAACGGGCTAATACCTTTTTACACCAGACAGTCTATTTCTTATACTCTTTCATTCAAAATCTATTCTAAATTATACGTACAGTGTTTTTGATGAATTAACTCCTTTCAAAGCATCAATAACATAGATATCTGTTATTAGTGTCTACCGCTCATTGAAAAATTCAGCATTGAAATGAAATCTAACAGTAACTATTCCTGCCCTACAATGACCAAAGAACGATGCAAGCTAAGCTATAGAACATGGTTGAATTCAAGATCTGAGTCAATAAACCTAACCACACATCGTATTTCTAAAAAAAAAAAAAAAACTGGAGGAGCAGGAACCCTAACTTGGGTTCCATTCGTTCTTAGCACGTCGAATGGTTCCTCCCATAGCTTCTCTAAAGGAGCAGAAGTTTATTTAAATCCATTTGACAAAACAACTTCTCGTTTTTTTCTGAAATGCATTAAAGATATGAAATGTCTATAGTACCCCTGCTTAGTTGACTTGGTTGCATACATGATTTATATCTTTGATCTCAATTTGTATGATGTTTCTAATGAACCAAAAATAAACATGAACATTAAGACTAATAGATAACTAGTGGTCTAGAATACCCTTCTATTTTTCTATTTCTTTCTTAATTTGTCACTTATTTTCTTTTCAATTAATTCCCCTTTTCTCTATTCTCTCTCCTCCTTATCTCTTTCTCCACCGCATGCATCTCCTCCTTCCTTATCCCCTTCGCCCACACAGGCACAACACGTCAGGGCACCGCCTCGCTCGCTCGAGAACCTTCCCGTGCTGCGTGCCCGGGCTCCTTCCTTATTCCCTTCCACCGCATGCCAGGGCTTCGCCTCGCCCGGCTCTGTGCCGCCCGTTCGAGCACCTCCCCATGCTGCGCGTGCCCCTGCTCCGGCCCCCCGGCTCTAGGCGGTCCATGCCCACACAGTTGTCGCTCCGTGCCCACGCGCAAGGAAGAAGAAGGCAGGGGCATCCACGGGCAAATACACCATGGGCCTACACGCGTCGAGCCGGTGGGAGCTTCATTTTTCGGCTCCACCTGTCAAAACCGCGTTGTGGGAGCGCAATTCCCGGCCACTCCACACGAGGAGCACTTTTATGGACGCGTTTGGTAACCGAAGCTGAAAAACGGCTCTGGGAGCCGCCCCGGGAGCCATACCAAACGACCCCTAAGTTGCACTCCTTTGTCCCGACACTCGAGGCCACCTCCGTCAAGGTGGTGATGGTGGCGGCGCGAATGGTAAGCAGGAGCGACTAGGGTTTACGGGAATAGGAAAGGGGAAGAGACGGCGCATCGGCGACGTGGCGGGCTTTAACACCCCGACCGCGAGCCGTTGCCCTGTTCGCTTGGCTTATAAGCCGTATTTTTTAACCAACAAACAGTATTTTTCTCTCACAACAAATCAGTCAACCGTACTTTCAGCCATGGCTTATCAGCCAAGCGAACAGGGCACAAACAAATGGGCCTGTGACAGCTGAGGACTGAGGTGGCCAAGTTTAGTGTACACATAGGATGAAATCAGGGTGATTTGGACACAGGGAAGGGAGGACACGTGCCCATTTCCAATACCATAATGAGCAAGGTTGCCTGGTTTTCGAGTCTTTTGAAAAAACCTTGGACTGTGGCGATAGTTCAGAAAGTCTTTTTCTTTCTTTCTTTTGGGAAACCGATAGTTTATAGAAAGTTAAAACGGACTTTTTCTCTTCTTTTTCTCCACTGACCTTATCGTTGCCCGACACCGATGGCCGCCGCGCCTCCGCCCGCTGCGCCGCCGTCCCACATGTCCGCCGCTCTCATCACCTTCCCCTCCTCTCACCCCTATCCTTCCCTCCCCGCGCCGCCCAAGCCCCCAAGCCCCAGGCCCCCTCAACTCCACCTCGTCCCCCGCGTCGCCGCATACCCCGCCGCATCCGCGGCCACCCCGCGCCGCAGCGCCTCCTCCACCTCCGCCACCGAGCGACTCCGCGTTCTCGTACGCCGCGGCGAACTCGACGATGCCCTCCGCCTCGTCGACTCCCTCGCGGGGCTCGACCCGCCCTCGCCCGCCGCGGCGGGGCCCTGCGCCGCGCTCATCAAGAAGCTCTGCGCGTCGGGCCGCACCGCGGACGCTCGCCGCGTGCTGGGCGCGTGCGGGCGGGACGTCGTGGCCTACAACGCCATGGTGGCGGGTTACTGCGGGGCCGGGCAGCTCGACGCCGCGCGCAGGCTCGTGGCGGACATGCCCGTGGAGCCCGACGCGTACACCTACAACACGCTCATCCGAGGCCTCTGTGGCCGCGGCCGGACCAGCAACGCCCTCGCGGTGCTCGATGATATGCTCCGCCGCGGCTGCTTGCCCGACGTCGTCACCTACACCATTCTGCTCGAGGCCACCTGCAGGAGGAGCGGGTACAAGCAGGCCATGAAGCTCCTCGACGAGATGCGCGACAAGGGGTGCGCCCCGGACATCATCACCTATAATGTCGTCCTCAATGGTATCTGCCAGGAAGGCCGGGTTGACGACGCAATGGAGTTCTTGGAGAACTTACCGTCCTATGGGTGCGAGCCGAACACTGTTAGCTACAACATTGTGCTGAAGGGCTTGTTCACTGCTGAACGGTGGGAAGACGCCGAGAAGCTCATGGAAGAGATGGCCCACAAGGGTTGCCCTCCGAATGTGGTAACATTTAATATGCTCATCAGTTTTTTGTGTCGTAGAGGATTGGTTGAGCCTGCAATGGAAGTTCTTGAGCAGATCCCCAAGTATGGATGCACGCCTAATTCATTGAGTTATAACCCACTTCTTCATGCCTTCTGCAAACAAAAGAAGATGGATAAAGCAATGGCATTTGTAGAACTAATGGTGTCCAGGGGTTGTTACCCAGACATCGTTTCATACAACACTCTGCTTACTGCACTCTGCCGCAATGGGGAAGTTGATGTTGCTATTGAATTGCTTCATCAACTCAAGGACAAAGGCTGTAGCCCGGTCTTGATTAGTTATAACACGGTCATTGATGGTCTTACTAAGGCTGGCAAAACAAAGGAAGCATTGGAACTGTTGGATGAGATGATCAGCAAAGGGCTCCAACCAGATATCATTACTTACACAACAATAGCTTCTGGTCTTTGTAGAGAAGACAGAATTGAGGAGGCGATTAGAACATTTTCTAAAGTGCAAGATATGGGTATAAGGCCCACTGTGGTGTTGTACAATGCTATTCTTCTTGGGCTCTGCAAAAGGCGTGAAACACATAATGCTATCGACCTGTTTGCTTACATGATATCGAATGGCTGCATGCCGAATGAATCGACTTACACTATACTTGTTGAAGGCTTGGCTTATGAAGGCTTGGTAAAGGAGGCAAGAGAATTGCTTGGTCAATTGTGCTCTAGAGGAGTTGTGAATAAGAAATTTATGAAGAAGGGAGCCGTTAAGATGCTAGATGGACCTACACAAACTTAGTGATGATCAGTTAGTGTACACTATATGAACATCTTCGCAGGGGACTTTCTTGACAGTACGATTGCGATGCCTTAACTGATGCTACTTTCTTATTAACATGTGGAGTGCCTTTTGTCAAATTTCCAGTATAAAGCCTACTCCATTTTTCAAATGACTAGAAATTTGCTTGCATTATTTTTATTTATTTCTTGTGCACATAATCATCTTTGGCATGGTAGTACCTGTGCAAAACTAGAAAGTTGGTCTATTCATGTTCAAATGCAAATCGAATGAAAGATGTTTCACAACTAGCTACTTCTTGGAACAAGAGGTCCAAATCTGGATTGCATTATATTACATGAAAATCTCAATTGAACGAAAATTAGTCATCCAGATTTCCCCATGTCACATGGTGTTACAAAAACTACGGAAAATTAGCCAGTAACCAGAAGTATGATTCAAAACCTCACTCTCAGTGGCTGATGTTCCTGCTTGGAATGGAAGGCATATTGAAATTGTTAGATTCAGCTTTTCTACTGAAACATAATTACACTGTGTCTGTGTATCATTGTATCTCAACTGGCATAGAGTAAAATAGCCCTTGAGATCTATTATGTACTGTGACAGTTCCTAAGAGTTAACCTGAACCTTTTAGTTATTTATTGATCTATTGCTAGTATTGAGAGAAGGGCATGGTTATGCTCACATCTGCCATTATGATCCAAGTGGTTGGAAACATCTCTGTAGTTTCAGGGTAATCAGTAAAAGATCAAGTAACAAGTCACTACCTGAATGCTGTTACGTTTTGCACGATCAACCTTCACTTAGCATATTATACTTTAAAATTTTGCTTAACTTTTTCTTTAGGGAAAGGCTTCTGTGTGTTTTTATCCTTTTCAACTTCTGCTGACCTGGTTTTAGCTACCTCTTATTCTATTACAGTGCACAAATGCTAGTGGGAGGCAACTGTCTTGGATTGCCATCAGAAAGTGCTCACACATTGTTCCTCCTGCCTTTTTGTTTTGAAGTGTATAAACATGAACCTTATTCATCAGTCAGGAGCTGTAATCTGGTCACATGTCCAACGCTCTAAGGGTAATAATGCAAATAATTGGTGAAAGTTTTGCATGTCCATTGTATGTAGATTTTTTTCCCCAGTTTGAAGTTATCAGAGTGCGCTCCTTATCAGAGTGTCCCAGCAATTATATGGTGAAAATGAGCCAATAATCTCTTTTTTTTGCGAATAATCTCTTGGTGAAAAAGAGCCAATAATCTCTTGATCTGATTCAGTTTCATTCCTGTAGCTGTGGCTGACTTTATGTTATTTGGAAAAGTTGGAAACTCGCACTCATCTCCATGACCACACTTAGAATCATAGTGTGTGTCATGCAATGCTTGTCAAGCCTTTTATTTAGGAGGGAAAAAACAGCTAAATATTAAGTTAGACAAAAGGAAATCTGCATGTTATTCGCTACACCAGTCGTTAGCACTTAATTAGCAAGCTCTTGTTCAGTATCACTTTATGTGAATTAAAAAGAGTGGAGGTCATGACTACATTTCTAGCTGGAAACAGCATGTGTACTTTCTACCACTGCACATGTTATATCACAAACTCACAACAAGGCATACAAAAAAGCACAAGAATTCAGAGTACCGGATTAACATTTTACAAAATTCCCCTATATGTGTCCTGCAGTACCAGCAGATTAGTGTTTTTTTTTTTACAAAAGCATAGGCGCTGGATGGATGGAGCAAGGATGCGTGGTTCCTTAAACATACTTCTACGATCAGAAATAGAGGGAAACCGTGTTCAGGAGTCAGAGATGCGCAGGCTAATTCTGTCTTTCATCTGGTTGATCAGGATTGTGGCGCTGCTGCTGGAGCGGCTGGTTTAGGTGCGTTTAGAAGAGGCGTGATGGCCTTCACCACGATGGTCATGTTTGGTCGGAAGTCGGATTCATACTGAACGCACAACGCTGCAACTGCTGCCAGCTGAAAACAAATGGGAAATGCCAGTAAGTCACTGTAGCATATCCGGCAAAACATTCTTGGAAACATGTATATATGACCCAATTAAGCGTGAGAACTTTTTTCTTGTTTTGTTTACCTTTGCAACAGCCTTTGGAGGGTAATCACTGTTGAGCTTCGGATCAACACACTGCTTCACTTTATCTTCACTCAACCTTGGAGTGGCCTAATCATGATGTTCACAGTCAGGAGATTACTGGCATTTACATAGTACGAGTTTCAGGAAGGAAGCAAATTACACAAAACACATTACCCAAGTAACAAGACTTTGCTGGCCTTTCGGCATGGTGTGATCGACCGGCTTCCTTCCGGTCAGCAACTCTAGAAGGATCACGCCGAAGCTGTAAACATCACTCTTTTGGTTGATCTGGCCTGTCATAGCGTATCTGAGAAAATGGTCCAGAATACCATACCAATCTGGGTAAGAACTAAGAAGGCTAATGCTACAAACGCAAAACAATGCAGTATGTAGTTGCAAAATTTGCCATGCCAGATCTATCGTCGTTCTTCATCGATCTTACTCTGGGGCATGGTATCCAAAAGTCCCTAGCACGCGAGTGGAGTGCAACCGCGCGGCGGTGTCGGTCCCCTGGTTGGTGAGGTTGAAATCAGCAATCTTGGAGCTGAAATCGTCGAATATGAGGACGTTACTGGACCGGATGTCTCGGTGAACGATCGACGGCTGGACTTTCTCGTGCAGGTACTCTAGCCCTCTTGCTGCTCCGTAAGCTATCTTCACTCGCTGAGCCCAGTTGAGAACGGGACCAGGCTCTGCACCCTGAACACCTTTCTTCCCTGCATAAACAAAACAATGCCAGAATCAATCGATCGTTCCCTGAACAATGTCAGATCACCGTCGGCCGAAGAAGAGATGCATGGATCGTCAGAGCTACGAACCATGTAGTATGTTATGCAAAGAACCCATGGTGGCGAACTGATAGGCTAGCATGCGGTTGCCGTCCTCCAAGCAGTACCCCAGGAGCTCCAGGAAATACTCGTTCTTGAGCTTGGAGACCATCGCTATCTGTACCATGGAGATGGAGACGAGGGCGCCCGGCAATGCAAGCAAACATCACAGGCAGGCAACGTTGACAAAGGAGGAACGAAGAGGGAGATGGCGTGAGAAGGCAGGCATGGCATGCACCGCGCGTCCGCACCTGCGCGGCGAAGTCGGTGTCGGAGTCCTGCGAGGCGCTGGTGTCGAGCTTCTTGATGACGGCGGCGCGGCCGTCGCTGAGCGTGGCGTTGTAGACGCGGCCGTAGGAGCCCTCGCCGATGAGGGCGCGGTCGCTGAAGTTGTTGGTGATCTTCTTGAGCTCGTCGAAGGGGATGGCGGGCACGTCGATGCTGACGGGCTTGGCGGGGCCGCCGACCCTGGGCGCGCCCGGTCCCCTCGGCCCGCCTCTGTTGCCTGTGCCATGCATGGATTGAGAAGCCACTGGTGGTCAGACGAGATCGACGGCGCCATTGGTAGCAAAGATGATGCCCTGTAATTGTATTGTACCGGGGGCGTTGGCATTGGGTGGCGGAACCGCCTGGTTGGCCGGCGGGCCGTAGCTGTCCTCCTCGGCGCCACCGCAGCAAGACATCTTTAATTTGTCGGTTCCTCCTCCTCCTCCTCCTCGCCGGACTGGATGGCGGCGACGGTCGATGCGCGGCCGGGTTGATTTGGGGTCGGTCAGCAGATCATGCCGCACGACCTGGAGTATTCGGCATTTTCCCCAAGAGCATCACAGAACGGATGGTCACATTCTCTTATTAGAGGCACGACGCAAACAATTCGTTAACGAAGAGAAAGATCAGCAATGGATTCGTTGACAGATCATCCTCGGAGCTAGAGAAGACATAATGCAAGAAATCGATCGGCGACAAGGCGGAGGCAGAAATGCGGACATGACGAAGTGTGAGAAGAAAAGCTCAGCTCGTTACCTCCCCAAAAGCAAGCTCCGACGGCACCTACGAGAGAAGAGGCGGAGAGCGCGCGAGAACAGCAGCAACGGCGTGGGTGGCCGGCCGCGGGGAGGGAGGGAGGAGGACGATAGATTAGCGGTGGCGAGCGGTGGGAGCTCCTTTTTCCGCGGGGAAGGAGGCGTCCCACCCGTTTTTACTGCTCGGCACCCCCGGGCAGGCGCGCGATTCAACTCGTTTTGTTGTGCGCCCCACCCCGCCCCGCCCCCTACCTGCGCGAGTCTATTCTTAGCAAGGGAGGATGCAGGCTTTTTCCGATCCACTTGTATTTTGCCCTTTGTGATGAAATCTGTCTATCGAACACTTAAGTGTTTTGAGCTCTTCCCACACTCGATTTCTTTTCTGATGTAGCCCAATGCACAGCCGCCGCTCACCGCCCACCGCCCCGCCGTGGCGTGGTAGGGTCTCGCTGGAGCCCCACAGCCGCAGAGCTCCGGCGTGACTCTACCATGCCCGCGGCAACCTCCTTCTTCCCCTCCCCTGCTACCATTATGGACATGGTCGCCCCCGCCCCAACTTTGGTCCGACCGTCTCCTCCGCCGCTCGCTTCAGCGGTGTCACTGTTGCCTCCTCCACGCCGCTGTCTCTCCCGTCTCCACCCCCGGGCTTTGCCTCCCTCCCTCGACCCCCTTTCTAAGCCTGCCATCCATGGAGAAGAAGAGGAGAGAGAGAAGAGAGACAAATCGAGTGTTGGAACATTCGAGTGAGGTGTAGTTGTTCTATTGTGATTTACCGTGGCCATCCTTGTTTTTTTCCCATTTGCATGATATATGCATCCAATCATTGATTTTTTGCCTAATACTTTCATTTACATGCCCCATAACATGAATTTCGATTCATAATCAATGGTTGAGAACTTACTCTCTATAAGCTTGGACACATCAGCTATAGAGGGTTTAATAGATCAATCTTCCAACAGTCCAGCTACAACACGCACTTCTAAAGTTTTACGGCTAAACATGTAAGAATTTTTTAATTAGCCTCCTCTCTCTATCTCATCCCAAACCTTCTAGCTTCTGCTGCGCGAGAGGAGACTGGACACTCCTTTCCACCAAAGCCATCAAAGCTCGACCTCTCCCCCCTGCTCTAACCGCTAGGAGTTACGGCCCTCGTCCTCCTTCGTGCATTGTCGATGGGTCGACGTCCTCTCCTGTGCCGGCAGTTGCGACATCATGCTCCCCTTGCCCATGTCAGTGCCGGTCCTAGGATTTTAAGGGTCCTCTGGCGATTTCATCGTAACAGTCCCTATTGACTATATATAAAATCTTATAATATATAGGTACTAATTTTATTTGTAAAACGAAAGCAAATTCAATAACATATTTTTAATTTAACATGTCTGATAATTATCGAGGAACAATGTAGATTAAGCAATAATTTGTAGATGTATGATAATTATCGAGGAACAATGTAGTTTAAAAAAGCAATATATTCGTTTTCTTTTCTCACCCATGACAAATGTTTCTTAGGTAAACATTTTAAAATTCTAACACCTAAATTAGAAGAAAAATATGACTATATAGGTACAAAGTACTAGAAGTCTGGAATACTGTACAAATAATTATTTTGGATTAAAAATAAAAAAAAGAAAAAATATCTTAGGCCTAAACAATTGATCGGTGATCGTAATTCGTAAGAAGCCAAGAATCAAGATATCGTCGTCGTGGAGCCCTGCCTGGTCGCCATCCTCGTGTGCCGTGTCCGTGTCTCCGGTAGTCTAACTCTTCGCGGCGGCATGGCTCGCCAGCTCCGCGTGTGTAAGGCGCATGTCGTGAACTCACGATCAAAGTGTGCTATGTGCAGCGTGACTCCTCGTCTCCTCTCTACCCGAGGGCCGTGGGGAAAGGAAACTAGGAAATAAATGTTGATGTTGTCTTTTTAGGCCGCCTGGCCAGTTCTATATCTCTCTTCTCATTAGTTTGCTAATGTCTAATGAACTATAGGATCTGTGAGTTTGTATACCTGGGCTTGAGCCCCTCCTCCGCTTGGGCCCTCGGTCGTCGCACCTCCTCGCCTACCCTTAGGGCCGGCACTGGCCCATGTTGGTGGCAGCACTCCGCCCTGCACCACAACTGCTGCCGGAGCCGAGCCCACCGCATCCCCTCCGTCGTGTGCCAGCGAGGTGTGGCAGAACCGTCCAAGTCCTACAAATTCATGTGTACTTGTCATTGTCTTACAGACTTCTGACTAATATACATGGGACTCAAACAACTCCGGCAATCTATGTTGTGTCCTCGTTGGATCCCTAGTCATCCACTTTTTACAACCATTCAGTATCATTACAGATAATCATTGCAATATTACAGCGGTTGATACAAATATATTACACCAGAGTAAAAATGCGAAAGTATTACAAACCAGTTATTTAAGTCTTACAAACCATGAATTTTAGCCTTCGACAGAGCATGTACCAACACAATTATACAGCACATAACAAAAGATCGTCCTTCCCAAGCATGAGATTTCAAACACAATGTCTACTGCTGGATATCGTCTTTCAAAACCGTCATACAACATGGGCAAAAATCCACATAAAGTTGGGGTTCACTTGTAATAGGAGTTAACAAACCCTGAGAACCGAATTATACTCAGCAAGACTTAACCGGCTAAAATAAAATGACTCCAATGGTATGCAAGATACAATGGTATACACGCTTCTTCTGATCCGCGTGCACTTTGCCCTTTGTGATGGAATCTATCTATCCAACACTGAGTGCTTTGACCTCTTCCTACACTAGATTTCTTTTCTACTGCAGCCCGACGCGCCGCCATCGCTCACCGACACCGTTATAATTTTTTTTATTATACACTGTTATAATTTATAGTGAGTAAAGTCCATAACCGGTCTTTAAACTTGTGCATGTGTGTATTATGCTGATCCTTGTATTCACAAATTATGTTATTTTGGTGTTTAATCTCTGTTTTGGTCTAGCTCATTGGGGTCTAAAGCCCACATGTTAGCTCCATCTATCCTCTTTCTCCTCTCTCGCGGCCATGGCTAGCCCACGCATGGCCCCTGCCCCTGCCACTGCCACTGCCACTGCCACCGTCTTCAGTCTTCATGCTAGCTATCGTTCCGCGCGCGCCGCTCTCGATTGTCGTCCCGCACTCAGTTCCGTCACATAAGTTTGGGTTCAAAGCAATTTTAAAATTCATTTTGAATCCTAGCTAGCACTTACTTAGTTTCAGCCCTCTTTATGCTAATTCCATTCGGTTTGGAGAAATCTTGAAAGAATTAAATATTTCCAGTGATTTGTATTTGCCCTTGCATTAGCGCTTGTTATATAGGAGTATATATGTTGTATGTACCCAGCCTCAGTTTCCCTTTGTTGTCGTATATATATACTTTGACGAGGAGCGACGTTAGCAGCGACGCCACTGATCACCTCAGCAAGCCACGGAGCCGCCGGTTGCCGGCTTTTGACCGCCCAAATGAGATGGTGCCCAGTGCTCAAATCACCTCCGATCCGTCGTGCTCAGCTTTGCAGCGGACTCTTATATAAACGCGCGCTCGGTGTGGATCGATGGAGTCACGAAGCAGCACACTGCACACAGCAAAAACTGACGGAGGAAGAACGCAGACGACAAGCTTGTGCGATCGATCAATGGCGGTGACAAAGATCTACGTCGTGTGCGTGGACAACCAAATCATGAGCACCTTGCAACCATCTGGCAGGTGGCGGAGACGCTGCCGGAGGAGGCGCTGGCGAAGATGCACGCGCCAGCCAAGAGCGACAAGCACCCGGTGATCTCCGGCAAGCAGTTGGCCGACGCCGACGGCATCCTGTTCGGCTTCCCGTCGCGGTTCGGCATGATGGCGGCGCAGATGAAGGCGCTCTTCGACTCCACGGGCGGGCTGTGGCAGACGCAGGCGCTCGCGGGCAAGCCCGCGGGGTTCTTCTTCTCGCTGGGCACCCAGGGCGGCGGGCATGCAGGAGGAGACGGCGCTCACGGCCGTGTGTCGCAGCTCACGCACCACGCCATGGTGTTCGTGCCCGTCGGGTCCACGTTCGGCGCCGGCATGTTCGACATGGACGAGGTCAGGTGCTGCAGCCCGTACGGGTCCGGCACGTTCGCCGGCGCCGACGGGAGGAGCAGGCTGCCCAGCGACGCCGAGCTCCAGATGGCCGTGCACCAGGGCAGCTACTTTGCCGCCTTCGCCAACAAGTTCAAGGCCGGAGCGGGCGTCGTCGCCTGAGCCTGCTGGAGTAGTGCTCTGTCTGTTTTCTGTCCTCTGCCGTGCCCATCCGTCTGTGCAACTGGAGTAGTGCTCATGCAGTGCTGCTATCTGCTCTTGTTTGCGGAAATAAAATAAATATACTCCAGCTTTTACGCGGTGTACATATCGATCAGTCGTCACTGTCGTGATTGATGTGAAATCAGGAACGTGTAGCTTTCACTTGGATAAATTTTGAATTCCCAGCGAATTTCTCGAAACGTTGCTCACTCAAAAAGGTCAAATGTTGAGGAGTATAAAACTAACACTTACTCCCTCCATTCTAAATTATAAGTTATTGTCAAAACATCTCAAATTTAATCAACTTTATATAACAAAATAATAACATTTCTAATACAAACTAAGTATCATTAGATTCTTCATTAATTATATTTTCATAATATACGTATTTGATGTCATAAATCTTTGTTACTTTCTTCACAATTTTAATCAAACTTGAGATATTTTGACTCTCACAAAAATTAGAATGATCTATAATTTAGAATAAAGAGAGTACTTCATATGCAAGTATCCAACGCCACAATACTTACTGTTGGCAAGGAGCCGCCCCAATATCTACAACTTTATTTACAGAGCTTGTTTGGTGTAGCTCTTAGGCACTCTGGCTCCTTCTACCCTGTTACTGCATCGCAAGTGTACTGTAGTACAGCCAAAACAATTCCGTAACGCACCGAGAAAACGAAGGAGCCTGACAAATTACTGATTTGGGACTCTGACAGCTCCTCCACATTACTGTGAAACACAGAGCCTACAGAGCCCTTCAGACAGGCCTTCATAGAAATAAGTTTGTACATATGATTTTATTTTTTAATTGTAGTTGTCGGTTCTTTATGTCTATATTGCATCTACATGTGCCTGCATTTGTTTTCCAGCCAGAATTAGATTTTAAGCGGATCCAAACACGTCTTGAAATAGGTTCTAAGGTTCAGTTCTGATGTTGCTCTCGTTGCCATCTTCATCATGGTCATCCCCATCCTCCGTCGCCGACAGCGCCCACAGACCTGGCGGCGGCCGGCAGAGCCTGCCACGCCGGCGGCCGGAACGAACGATTTGGTCCAAGAGCACGATGATGACAAGGGGAATGGGGAGCAGGAGCGGAGAGTATTCGGCCATGTTTTTACACATTTTGGTGCAACTGTACCGGAAGGCATTTCTAACTTACTCCCTCCGTACTAAAAATAAGTGACGTTAATACGTGTCGGTAAAACTTTCTCAACTTTAACTAGATTTATAGTAAATATTAGTAATATTTATCTCTCCAAATAAGTTTATTATGAAAAATAGATTCAACAATCTATCTAATGATATTAATTATGTACTATAAATATTAATATTTTTTTATATCTATTTGGTCAAAGTCGAAAACATTTGATTTCTTAGGAAGCGAGAACGACATTTATTTTGGGATGGATGAAGTATTTATCAAAATTGGTGTTCATTCTCTAGTTAAGATGCTTTTTTTTTTTTCTTGTAGTATAATCCACTATTATTTTTTTCATTGTGAAGAATGAAGATAAAGCAGAATAGTCGTCATACTCATACTTTCTACATATATGAGCGAGTATCATAATACACGTGCATCATGCGTGCGTCTGTCCGATCCAAGCCATTGACGAATCAATCTGAAGTTTCAACATAGTCTATATAGTTTGTTTATTATATCATCATCATGTGGGCTTGGATTATTCGTTGACCTAGGTAGCATGCATACAGCTCTTGTGATCAACCTTGGTTACGGTGGTCGTCTCTCTCTCTGGCCAATCCTCATCCTCAGATTGGCAGTAATGGTTTGGCCAAGAGCACATGTTGATTGTCGTCCCAAGAACAGTCATGCAGATGCAAAGACCCATTCGGACGTGGAGAATCGACTGGAGATTCTATGTGAAAAATATCATGAACGGTTTTGTTCAAACCGACCGTAAAAACACCGTGAGCAAAAATAATTTCTGTAGCGGTGAATCCCACGTCAAACCTACAGCCTCACGCCTATGACCATGAGACGATCGAGGAGCCAAGATAAGTTGTAGAGCCTATGATCTGGGACGCCTCCTTTTAGTTTTGGCGTCGATTGATGCTTTTGAAATAGATAGGTTAATTAGATTGGGTCAAAAATCAAAGACCATATACATAACTGCTTAGTCTTAAGAATTTTCTAGTAATCAATTTCAGCTAACAAAACTCTTGAAAGATCGAAGTACTCCGTAGCAAATTGAATCGTTTATATTAGTCGTCACGTGCTTTCTTTTTTTTTTTTTTTTTTTGGCAGAATAGTCATTTTGTTCCTGAACTATTGCTCAATACTCAATTTCATCCTTGAACTTTTAAAACGACCGTTTTAATCCTCAAACTCTACTTTTATATTCAATTTCATCCCAGAACTATGAAGACGATCCTTTCAGTTCTCAAACTTTGCATTTTGAGTTCAATTTCATCCATAAACTATTAAAGTATATTTCGGTCTTTAAACTTTTATTTTCAAATCAACTTTGTCTACTGTCCTACATGGAACGCTGTTGTTGCACCTGATCAGCTCCAACACCACCGGTCACTAGGGATAGAAAAAATAATATTCATCAAAAAACTCTTTAGTGGCCATTAATAATTCCAAGCTATTATTTTTAGTGTTACCCTATAATAGCACCGTTTATATATATCCGACTAAATGATTTTTTTGGAAGCAATTACAGTAGCTTCGTTATTTATTCCTTAAGAAACATGGGTATATTGAAACAATAACAAATCTATAATTTTTTCCTTAACTACTTCTAGAGTTAGGCTCCACTAATAACCATTTGTATATAAAATAATATTTTTTTAATCCATGGGCTAAAAATAATTCATATTTAAGAATATTTAGTTCTATATTTATATCCATCTTAGAATATGAATATAAATAAATATTGAAAGTGTGCTATCTGATTCGATACTTGAGACGACGCTAGGGACAATCGTACCTAACGATGACTGTCCATCTCAAATCATAGGTGGTGCTGGACAAAGGACAAAGTTGAGCAAAAATGCATTTTTGATAATTCATGGATGAAATTGTGCCTAAAATATGATGTTTTCTTTTTGATAGACAAAGTTGAGTTGTAAATAAAAGTTTAAAGACCTAAATGTACTTTGATAGTTTATGGATGAAATTGAGCCCAAAATACATAGTTTGAGGACTGAAACGATCATCTTCGTAGTTCTGAGATGAAATTGAACCTAAAAGTAGAGTTCGGGTACTAAAACAGTCATTTTGAAAACTCAGGGATGAAATTGAGCCTCGAGCAATAGTTCAAGAACTAAAACGGCTATTCTACCTTTTTTTTTGAATGCGTTTCGAGCGTGTTTGATTTCATGCCTAGAGACAAAATTTGTTTGTCAGGCACTTATCTTAGGCCGTCGGTTTGGTCGTCTGACGATCAAGATCGCGCCACAAGCTATCCACGAGGCCACGAATCAAACACTGCCGAATTCGTGCGCTGTGGGCTTTTGCCGCCTTGGTACGGACGTAAGGAGGTGGTGGTCGTAGTGGGACCGACGTCGACGGGGTGATGGTCGTACGTGGGCTCTCATCTACTCTTGGGCCTTTGGAAAAAGGACAAGGAAAAAGTCCTTTTTACCTCCTATTGGGCGGGTTCGTTTTTTCCTTCCTCAACTCCAAAACCGGGCATTTAGACTCCATGAACTGTTAAAATCGGACACGAAACCTCCCTGTACCGCTTGTCAGGCCATTGAGGGCGGTCAAAATGTGCCCGTGACCACCTGTAACCCTAGCTGGGACTCTTTATCTTTTCCCTCGGAGGCGGGCGGCTAGTGGGTGGTGCGCACGTGCCATTGCAGTAGGTGGATCTGGTGGGTGTCCAGAGGATTCAGAAGGCCTTTGCTGCCACAAAGCGCACCAGGTTTGTGGAATCGCACTCCTAATGAGTCAATTAGGCATAGAATAATTGTTTTTTCTTGGATCTGGGTCCCTGGGACTTGCTTTTTGGAGATCCATTGTTTATTAGGCATAGGAGACGAGAGCTACCAGTTTTTTTGGGTGCTCTTTACTTGCATCTACATTAGTGGATTAATGAAGGGGCAGACCCAGTGCCGGAGGCTCCCACATAAGTGGGGTATGGGGAAGGGAAAAACCGAGGCAAGCCTTTCCCCCGCAAAATATACGGAGAGATTGTTTCGAACCCATGACCTGGTGACTCAGTGAGACAACTCTCACCACTGCACCAGGCCTGCCCTTCAGTGGGATTAATGAAGGCATATTATTTTTTTAATGTATGTAGGCCATGGATGTGTCGAACTCACTGGCTGTGAGGTTCCATTTTGGTGGAGAGTTTTTCAAAGATGGCAAGATACTGCATTATTTTCGGGGGAAGGCTGCAATGTCTTATATTGATCGAGACAAGATTTCTCTGCCAGAGGTTGTGGGACGCTTGCGTGATCATTACAATGTACATGATGGAGTTTTATTGCATTGGTTATTTCCTGGTAAAGAGCTACATGATGGTTTGCGTGTACTGGTGGATGACAAAGTTTGCCAGTTCATGTCTGACTCCATTATGGACAGCGGAGTTGCAAATATATATGTTGAAGAGCCATCTGTTATTTCAGTGTCTGACGATGAGGGGAAGGGTACATACAAGAAGAAAGGCAAAGCAATTCAGGAAGAAGATTCAAGCTCAGGCTATGACAGTGATTTCATAGGAGATACATGCTCATCTGGAGATGATGAAGAAGCCACTGAGATTCTAAAGAAATTCAAAGAATTGAAGAAGTTGAAGAAAGGAGAACATGCTACACTAGATGATATCATTCTTGCAGAGAACAGATCACAGCTAACAGAATATTTAGCCATTGAAGGGGAAGAAGATGGAACAACATATGAGGAAAGTGATGATGAAGAGTCGGTTGAAGAGGTTGGTACTGATGGGGAACTGAGAAGGAAGCCAAGTCATTATAGGAGGTTCAATGCA